GTTTGGGTGTGGTGTGGGTGACTTCGCTTCCTCAGAGCCACCTACACCACATCTTCATGTGATAGAAGCAAGCACACATAACGCATGGATGCGCGTTTGCGCGTGAGCTTCTCGCACACGCCCAATGAAGCAAGCACAGTCACTTGTACGGGCGGCACACATGCCGTCGCACAAACGCACAGCACAGGCACGACACCAGCCAGAACACCGGGGCGCAGATGGGCTGGTACCTCCCACGCGTGTTGCCAGGGCTGGCCTTGCTCTTGTGCTTGTTCAGGGGGAGCAGCATTTCAATGTCCTTGCTGAAGCCCGCACCCCCACCCTGTTGCCGCGGTTGTTCTGTGCGTTAGGGCGGCGCGCGGGGGGGAGTCAATCTATGTGTTTGAAGGTCTTTTTGCGTGCGTGCGTGTGTCCACCAAACCAGTTCATAGTCAGAGAGAGAGAGAGAGAGAGAGAGAGAGAGAGAGAGAGAGAGAGAGAGAGAGAGAGAGACAGAGAAGGGGAGGGGATGGCGGGTGGCTGAGCACCTCGGCTTCTCTGACGCGAGGAAATGTAGCTTCCGTGCACTTTGTTTGTGCTTGAGCGTGCCAGGAGGACAAGGGTTTCTTCAGCTGTCACACGGGCACACATACACACACAGTCAACAAGCTCGCCGCTGTACTGCTGTGCTCGTGCTGTCATGGCACCCCTTTTCCGGTTCCATCATCATTGTGTTCAAACGTCAGCAAATGTGTACGTTCAATCCGCAAACTGATTTCCCGCCAGAATCGCACGGCCAATCGTCAATAAACGTGTGCGTCGATGCGAGGCTGTGTGACGAGGCGAGCGAGAGGCACTTGAAGGACTCTTTGGCTGGTGGAAGCAATGTCGTGGCACACAATCACATCACACATATCAGGACACAGTAAGCAAGCAAGCAAGACAGCAGTGCTGTGTGCACGATTGTGACACAGCAAGCAGGCGCAAGTGGAAGGAGCGCGAGCGGAAACAACGCCATCAAAACTTGATGGTGCCGGGCTTGGTAAAGTCCGTGAGCGAGCCCTGCTTGACACCCTGTGGGGTGAACAGCAGCGCCTGAACGTTGGTGAACACATCAGAGCCAGAATAGCTGTGTGTGCGCGCGCGCGTGTGTGTGTGTTTGTGTTTGCAAGGGAGTGAGAGGGATAAAATGTAACTCTATAAACGTGTGGCAACCCCCCCCCCCACCACACACACAAATCTACAATCCCAACACGACTGACCTGCCAGACTTGGTCCAGGAAAGTGTCTGGGAAGCGCTTGAGTACGAGAAGTGAGACTTGAGCGTGGCGCCGCTTGTGTACTCGAGGGTCGCACCATCGTCTTCAACCAGCTCAAATGCACCATCAGCACCGTCATACACCTGTGTGGTGAGTGGTAATGGCGGTGGTGGGGTGTGAGCATAAGTGGTGTTGTTGTGGGTGTTCAAGTGAGGGTGAGAATTTGTGCGTTGTGTGCTATGGTTATGTGCGAAGGGCCGCTTGCCCGCATGTGGATGCAGGCAAGCAAGCGCGGCGAACAAAACGCAAAGGCCACACAACGACATGGTTTGCAAGGGGCAAGCGTTGGCAGTCGGGAGGCTTCGAGACATGGCACAGCGCACGCACGTGAACGGTAAGCGGGCCACCGGGGAGAAGATCCGTGTACTGGATGACTGGGCCGAGCGGGAGGATGCCACCTTGCTTCACAAAGAGAGGGACATGGTCCAGGGCAACATTTGTTTGGCTAGACGCATGCAAGGGTATCACGTAAGAGTGTTGTGTGTGTGTGTGTGTTGTGAATTGAAAGCACGTGTGAGTGTTGTGTGATGTGAGGGGTTGTGTCGATGCGCATCAACGTTTGCGAAACAGGAAAACAGGAGCAGGAGTGTCGCGAAACGAAAGTTGCACGGCATCCACGGCTCATCGCGTCCATCCAGCGTAGTGTGAGTAACAACTTTGCGCTCCTGGAAGTGAACAGCCATGCGCGAGCACTGGGAAGCACTCACTTGATGTAGGTTGGGCCCGTGTGGGTCGTTGTTGTGTTGAACTCATACCACGTGTCTGCTGGCAGGTAAGCGCTGCTGCTGTTATCCTACACACGCGCGATCACCGCAAGAATACAGCGTATGTGTGAGTGAGTGTGTGAGTGAGTGTGTGAGTGAGTGTGTGAGTGAGTGAGGGGGGTGGGGCGTGTGTGTGAGTGTGAGTGAGTGGGTGAGTGAGTGAGTGTGTGTGTCGGGCATCGAGCCGTGAAGCACACGTAACAAAGAGCAGACAAGGGCGGTGTGACAAGGAGTGCAAAGAAAACAGCGCGCCCAACATATGAAAGAGCGGCACTTGCAAACAGCAGCAAGGCGAGGCCCGAGCGCGGAGAACGGCAGTCGAAGCGGATGATTGCCGCACCTGGGACAGAACGGGCGAGACGAGAAGATAGTCGCCGTCCATCCACTGCGTGGCAATAGTCTGGCAGACCCTAAAACATCAAACCAGGCCGTGGGAACGTATGAATGCGTTTGCATGGCATGGGCATATGTGCGTGGATATGTGTGCACATGTGTGTGTGCGCGTTTGTATGCGTGTGTGCGTGCACATGTGCGTGTGTGAGTTGTGGTTGTGCTGGTATGCCATATCATTGAAGCATACATGCATGCACGGTTGCACTGCCAATAACATACGTGTCCGTTGGATAGTCGAAGAACATGCCGCGGAACACGGGGCGACCTGGGAACAAAACAAATCAAAACAACACACACGCACATACACCGAAACAAGATATGTCGCTCGTGAGTGTGGGACGGTAAAAAATGACAATCGCATGTATGCAAAGGCACACACGTGCAATATTTGTGCGCGCGTGTGTGTGGTGTGGTTAGGTGATGTTCGTGTCGTACCTGAAGTGTACATGCCGTGGGCCAGGCTGTAATGCATGGGCAGCAGCTGGTAGCGCAGTTCAAGCGCCTGCAGCAGCAAACGAGGGCAATGCGACATGCTACGTCAGTACAGAGCCGTGAGAGATACATGCATGCACACGTGTGTACAATTGCCATACACAACCGCAAGAGAGAGAGAGAGAGAGAGAGAGAGAGAGAGAGAGAGAGAGAGAGAGAGAGAGAGAGAGAGAGAGACACACACACACAGACAGAGACAGACAGAGAGACAGAGAGCGCACACATGCATGCACACACACACACACAGACGCGCACCTTGCGCATAGCATTGCCGGCCTGCTGGCCGTACAAGAAGGGGAAATGGGGCATGTCGGAGTCTGTTGAATGCACACGCATGATGCCAAGGAAGGCGCTCACAAAGTACCAGCTGCCGTGATGCGCAAAAACAACGTTTGTTGTCGGAAGTGGTGAGATGATGGGCAGTCATGCTCGTGGCCAGACATGGTTGTTCGCTTGAGTGCAATCGTGTGCGCGTGTGCGTGTGTGCGTGTGCGCGTGTGTCTACATCTACGTCTACATGCACATCCAAATCCACACGTGCATCCACATGTGCCGCAGCATGTGTGGTTTTAACACAGGTCCCCTGCTCACCGAGTGAGGAGCAGCGGGGTATCATCTGGCCCGCTGAACCCGCCCGTGTCGCACGTCACAAACGAGGCACCGGCCATGTTCCAGTTGATCTGGTATCCGACCTGCTGCGCCATGCTCTCAAAGCTCACGCTGATGTCTCCTGTCCACACAGACAGACCGAACCTGCCAGACGTACACGGGAGGTGTGAGGGGATACATGTAGTCATGGCCATGTGTGTGTGTGTGTTTGTGTGTATTTGAATGTGGGAGTGAGCATGAGATGTGACGTGAAAACGCGCAATTTTACACATGTGCGTGTGATAATGCGTGTGCTTAAGTGACCGAGCGTGTCAAGTTGAATACGTGCAACGCATGTACAATACAGACATGAAGACCAACACCACACCGCACTGGTCATCTAGTTCCATGGGCCCACATTGCCCCACATCCCGTAGTCATCATCAACAACAAGGCCACCACCCCCCTTTCAACGCAGGGTTGCGTGGAGGAACAGACCGAGACATGCCGGGGCTGTAGGAGCGGTTGATGGTGAAGAAGCGCTTGCTCTTGTCATACGCAGCGAGACCTGCAGCAGCAAATGTGGGATGAGTGTTGGGGAGGGGGGCAGATGGCAATGGACAGCGACCGATGGGGCAGACGTCACACAAAGATATGCGATCAGCACCACTTGGAAGTGGCTTCGCTGACACACACACACACACACACACACACACACACACATACACTCACCATCGTACTGGGCCTCATTCCACCAGTGAAACGTGAAATATTGCGTCTCGCCTTCGTCATTCCACCAAAACTCAACACCTTCCTTGAGGAAGTGCGTGTGTTGCTCGTAGTACCTGTCATAAAACGGGGATGCAGTGGCGTGGGGTGTGAGGTTGGAAGCGCGGTGAACGGAAGGAGAACAGAAGGTAAAGGAGAGGTTGTGCTTCACAGAGAGAAAGAGAGAGAGAGAGACAGACAGAGACCGTGCGCATGTGTGTGTGTGCGGATTCGTAAGTGCAAACACACATGTGTAGAGTATTCACCAGGTGCGAAGATCGGCGATGGAGTAGTTGAGGTTGCGCCCGCCGCCGGTGTACGACGCTGAAGGAGCAAAGGGGCACACAGAAGAGAGCAACGCACATCCCATACATAGCGACACACACACACACACACATACGCATTCACATGCACGCACACACACGCACACATGCAGCACAACCACAAAGCCAAGTGTGAATGCGCAAAGCTGCGATGAGCATAAGTACACAATTGTTACATGAAGCCAATTTACCCCCACAGCAGTCCGCAACAGTGCGTGAAGGAACCAACATTCAGCCATGCAACGTACAGTCGATGAGCCAGCCCTTGTTCTTCGCCATGACCAGCAGCTGGCTGTTGCCCAGACGCGGCTTGCGGATGCCGCCAAACCGAAAGTTGAGATTCTTGCGGTAATCTTGCAGCTGGCACAGTATGGGGCGCGAGATGGAGAGGAGAGGATGTGTGTGTGTGTGTGTGTGCAAGTGGTGAGTGAGTGAGCGAGCGGGTGTAAGTGAGTGAGTGTGTGTGTGTGTGAGTGAGTGAGAGTATGTTTCTGTTTGTGTACATCTGTACATGTGCGTACATTCATACAAATGCGTGAACCTGCTGCACGGGGTTGGGGAAGGTGATGTTGTTGTACGTAAAGTCCTTGAAGGTTGGGCTGCCGGAATTAGGGAGGTTGTAGTCGGGCTCGGGTGTGTACCACTGCACAAGGGGAAAGGGAGCCAACAAGCACATGTGAGGGTTGAACATCACATGCAAAAGGAGCACACACCGGACAATCGCTGGTGGGCAAAAACGCACGCCTGCGAAACAGACATGTGAGCGCACGCCCACATACACGCGCACACACACACACACACCTCAAAATCCGAGATGAATGCGTCTGCGGGGAAGTTGCCTGAGCGGAAGTTTGATAGCATCTGGTGGATGTAGGTCGCGTTGACCCACCCCCACCGCCCTGCAAGAAACCCAAACGCATAGCGCGGGGGCAGCTGCGGCCTGCCAGTCACATCCCACAGACAATCCAGCGAATCATACGCCGTCGCTGTCACCATTGCCGTCGTGGTGGTGGTGGTGGTGGTTGTGATGAGATTGGTGGATGGTGGTGCATAACAACGTTTGAATGTATGCGCGCGCGCGTGTGTGTGTGTGTGTTGTGTGTGAATGTGAATGTGTGTGTGTGTGTGTGTGTGTGTGTGTGTGTGTGTGTGTGTTCGTGTGTGTTCAATGTGGCGCAAGAGAATAGCTGTCACAGTAGGAGAGCGCGGGAGGTCATAGTTGCTGCTCACCGGCGGGCATGAGATACAGGTCGACCTGTGGGTCACCACCAATCGTCCACATCACCTGCCACCCGCAAAACAGGTGTGCGCGTGTATGTATGTGTGTGTGCATGTGTGTGCGTGTGATTGATAATTAGAAGGGACACACGGAAAGGCACGACTAGCGAGACGAGGGAAGGCAGGAACACGCGTGCATCTCACAATAAGAAAATGAGCTGCAAGTACGCACGCACACACATGCACACAACCGCCAACGCCACGGTAACAGGTACAGCAACGGGCGTACGTTGGATCCGTCAAAGACCCAGGCGGCCGGATAGCTCTGCACATCCCCCTCCTTGAACGGGGCGGGGGACACGCCGAGCGCACTGTAGCCGTCCGTCGACCAGTAGTACGGCGCCTGCAGGCACACCACATGCATGCGAGCGCGCGAACACGGGTGGGATTGTGAGCGTGATGATGCACATGGATGAAGAGGATGAGGCGGAGGAGGAGCAGGAGCAGGAGGAGCAGGAGGGGGAGAAGAAAGAGGGTCAAGGACGTACAAGGGAGTTGAGATACACACATCCACACACACAGACACATCCACGCAAACACACACACACAGACACACACACACACAGACACACACACACACACACACAGACAGACACACACACACACACACACACACACACACACACACACAATACTCGACCTGGAAGTGTGTGTTTGCGACGGAAGCGCTTGAGGAGGTGTGGGTGATGGGGTCGCCTGCACCGCCGCCCGCACCGTAATAGAGCGGCGACTGCGATGCGGCCGGGAGGGTGAAGTCAATGACGGGCGGAGGAGAGGGGGCGTTACCACCGCTGATGCGGCCCTGGCGCGGGTTCATGCCGGGGACATCGTGCAGCAGCCAGCAGTTGGCGCCAGACGGATCGGGGGCAGAGGGCAGCGCAAACACAAAGAAGTCGCAGTCTGCACGAGGTGTGTGTGTGTGTGTGTGTGTGTGTGTGTGTGTGTGTGTGTGTGTGTGTGTGTGTGTGTGTGTGTGTGTGTGTGTGTGTGTGTGGAGGGCGGGGATGATGTGAGGGAAGCTATACTGCTTGGGCAAGGGGGAGAGGAGATGGGACAAGTGATTCGGAACAGGCCCACCCACACACCTGATGCGGCGTTGCATGCCTGGCAGCAGGATGTCTGGGTTTGGTTCTGCAGGCCGTTGGGCGCAGACTTGGAGCGTGTGCCACCAGAGGCGTCGTAGCCAGGCACGGCTTGCTGACACACATCCTCCTGCGTACATTTGGTATGATTGCATGTGTGTGCATGTGTGAGTGTGTGGTGATTGGCGTGCATATAATAGTCATTGGTGTGCAATGTGTATGTGCTGGGTGTAAGCCAGGGAGGGGGGGGGGCGCAGAAGAAGAAGGAGGTGCATGCACGAGAACGAAAGAAGTGTGTGTTTTAAAGTGGAGCGGCAACGTGGCGGTGATATGACGCTGCACCTGAAGGCCTGCAGAGGCCGAGAGTGCTGACGAGAGCTTGGGGGAGTCGATGATGACCGATCCCTTGTTGTCGAGCATCTGGAAGGCGGCGGACGTGGTGTTGATCTGGATTGCACCAAACGACGTCTGCACGCCCTGCCAGTCGCCTGGGCACCGGTTATATTGTTGGTAAGAAGAGGGGGGGGGGGGTGTGGAAACAAAACCGGTGAGTGGCACCAGTGAGCAGCACGCACGAGCGGGCAGCATGAGTGGGTCAAGAAATGACGCGATCGCATGCGCACAAGCCATGATGCAGAGGGCTGCACACACACACACACACACACACACACACACTCACGCACACGCACACACACACAGACACACACCCTTTGAGATTGGCGTGAAAGACGGGAGGGACGACTGCTCGACGATCATTGGAGATGACACGCCGCCATCGGGAGATGTTGTGGCAATACTCACGCTGGCGCACACGGAAACGAGGGAAATGAAAGAGCCCAGGAGTGAGCATAGACGTGCGTTGCGCACATACAAAACTGGACACTATTGTTGTTGTGAGACGCAGGCAAGGGCGCAGGTAAGGGCGCAGGTAAGAGCGCAGATGCCACGGATCTCACCGAAACCCGGACTTGCTGGCGACGGCGAGCTCCACATAGTGCTTGCCAAACTGTTGCGAGCAAAGTAAAGCGAGAACAAACTTGGTTTACAAAATCGGGCATGGTTCATCCGCACCATTTAGGATGCGCATATTATGCACACGGGTTGCAAATGCATACCCACAAGCCCGCTCAAACTGAGTCCATCACAAGTCCACAACACGCGAAGCAAGCAGTCGCAAACAAACAAACAAACACACACAACGAGCATCGCACTGTTGTTGTTGTTGTTGTTGTTGTTGTTGTTGTTGTTGTTGTTGTTGTTGTTGTTGTTGTTGTTGTTGTTGTTGTTGTTGTTGTTGTTGTTGTTGTTGTTGTTGTTGTTGTTGTTGTTGTTGTTGTTGTTGTTGTTGTTGTTGGTGTTGTTCTTGTTGTTGTTGTTGTTGTTGTTGTTGTTGGTGTTGTTGTTGTTGTTGTTGTTGTTGTTGCGTGACTCACTGGCTGACTGACTGACCTGAACGACGACACCGTGGGAGCTGCGAACGAGGGGACGAGGAGCAGCTGCCACTGCTGCTGGCAGCAACAGCACCGCCAGCACTGCCACTGCAAGGAAGCGCGACCACCACATGTCAGCGATCGGCGAACAGGTCGGGAGACAAGGCGACTAAGGTGCTTTGTTGTGCAGTGTGGTGGGAGGAGTTTGGTTTGTTTGTTGCTTGTGTTTATTGCTGCTCCTGACAAGTCGACTTATTTCAGTCTTTAAACTTTATATGGTGTCGTCGAGAAGTTTTAACCGTTTTCAGTGGCGGGAAAATTTGGGAGCGCTTGAAAAATGTCAATTTTTCATCAAACACCAACCAAGCACACAACCAGACGTGCCGCGAAAAAATCAGAGCAGACACACAGCACCGACCAACACAACAGGTGTGTCGGTTGTCGATGGAGATGGTGCAGTGTTGGCCCTTATGAGGTGGTGCTTGCTTGCTGTGCCTTTGGTGCTGTTGCTGCTGCTGCTCTTGTTGTTGTTGTTGTTGTTGTTGTTGTTGTTGTTGTTGCTTTTGTTGTTGTTGAGAGAGGTTTTTCTTCTTTCGATCGTCATAACCTCTCGCGACTTTACTCACACCTTCTTATTCCTCTCACTTTCTCTGTCTTTCTCTGTCTTTCTCTGTCTTTCTCTGTCTTCAGGACCAACAGAACAGCACCATGGCCGACAAGATTGCTTACAGCAACAAGTACTACGACGAGACCCACGAGTACCGGTGAGTCGACCACGTTTGTTCATTGTGTACAACTTGCGTTTGCATGAACATTGGTGATGGTGGCATGGGACTCGAACATTTTGGGTTCCTCTGCGTGCTGCGTGAACTCTGTGTTTGGCAATAGCATCCCCTTGTCCTCGCTACCGAGCCCACGTTCTTTTTTCGTGTGTTGTCAATATTCTCTGTTTCGCACATCATTGATTGACGCTCCCTCTTTTCGAACGTTTTCGGTCACTTCCTTGCGTTGTTCCCCCTCCCCAATCTCACCTCCACTCCTCTTCCTTTTTGCTCCTTTCTTTCTTCCCCTTTCTTTCTTTCTTTCTTTCTTTTCCCTCCTATTCTTCATTGTTCTCACATCACACCCTCTTGTTCAATTTCTCCTCCTCCTCTCCATCCCTCTCTCCATCCTTCTCTCCATCCTCCTCCTCCTCCTCCTCCTCCTCCTCCTCCTCCTGCTCCTCCTGCTCCTCCTCCTGCTCCTCCTCCTCCTCTGCATCTTCCTCTCCATCCTCCATTGACCCATCTCGTCTCACTCACCCCCCCCCGCTCTCTTCTCCCCGGTCCCCACTCCACCGTAGTCATGTGTTCTTGCCCAAGGAGCTTGTGGGTCAGGTCCCCCAGGACCGCCTCATGACGGAGACGGAGTGGCGCAACCTTGGCGTGCAGCAGTCTCGCGGCTGGATTCACTACATGATCCACCGGCCTGGTGCGTCGCAATGCATGGTGTTGCTTCATTGTCCTCCGAGCTGCGTGCGCCTCTTTCCGTCAATCCTGCTCATGTGCATCGATTTAGGGGTTCGCTCAACAGTGCATGTTCTGCCATGTCGACCTTCTTTTTCTGTCGTTGTCCTTTGATCTCGCTCACCTCGTACACACACACACACACACACACATACACACACACACACACACGCACACACACATACACACAGAGCCCCACATTCTCCTCTTCCGTCGCAAGCTCCCCAATGCCATCTAAACGAGCACACGCCATCTGGTGCATTGTGACGCCAAGGATAGCGGGAAAGTGGTGATGGTTGTTGTGGTGGTTGTTGTGATGGTTGTTGTGATGGTTATTGTGATGGTTATTGTGGCGACCTCCACAATAAATTGTCGTTTCTCTCTCGTCCTCTTCCTGGCTTCCCTCTTTTTTCTTCTTCCCCTCTTCCCTTCTTTCCTCCCCTCTTCCCACTTTCTCTTTCCCTTCTTCTTTTCCTCTCTTAGCCTTCTATATGTCCAGAAAGCTGTGTCTCTCTGCTGCTATTGCGTGCCAACGACATTGCGTGTGTTATTGGCGCAGTCTCGCTTGTGTGGTGTTGCCTCTTCGTCCATGTGTGCATGCGCTCTGTTTGATTGTTCGTGCGGGGCTTGCTTCACACACACTCACGCGCATGTGTGCGCGCGCGTGTGATGTGACAAGTCTTTGCACACTCGAACAAGTAAACGCGTGTCCCACTCAATTACAGTTTACTGTCAAGTGGAACAAACAGTGTACACCCCAAAAAACAGTGTACGCCCCCAAGCACTCGCTCGCCCACCTGCATATACAGTCTCATGGCTCTCTGTCAATCACACACATGAAGAGAACGACTAAAATGCGACCACAACAGACCAGTTTGCACACTTCTAGCCAGTTTGTCACAATCACACACTTGCACACACATATCATTCTCTCAAAGTGCAAGTTCGGAGTTGTCGTTGTCGAGGACAAACGCACGCCGGTGCGACGACGAGCGCCGTGTCTTCTTCTTCAACGTGCCATCGTTCTGCACCTCAATGTCAATGTACCCGCCATCGCTCCTGTTGTCCGACTCCTCAGACAGCGTCGAGCGCCGGTGTCGCGATGACGACGATGATCCTCGCCCTGCCGTTGCGCGTGTCCCAGCACCCCTCATCAAGCCATCGGAGCTGAGCCGTGCCACCGCCTCCAGCAGTCGTGTTGGCTTTGCGGACACCGTCTCCAACTCGTGCGCGTAACCATCGTCATCGTCATCGTCATCGTCATCGTCGCCATCGTCATCGTCGTCGTCAAAGTTAAACGCAGGCGTGGCTTCACCGCTCTCGCGTGCGCGGTCAGAGCGCAGCCCCTCCGTGCATGTTGCATTGTCATCGTCATCATCATCATCATCACCATCATCGTTGTCGTCGTCAAAGTCGTCCTCATCGTCATCTTCATCCAGCGACATCATCATGAGCAAGTTGAGTCGGTCAAGGTCGTCCATGCTCGCCGGGTCCTTGGGCGCCGCAACGCTGCCACCTGTCGACGCGTCACTGCCAGAGCCAGCAGACGACGATGCAGATGATGGTGTGCTTGGTGGCTTGCGGAGGTCATGGATGCTGCCGTAGCTTGCGCTGCTCTCGTCACAGCTGCCACGCCGCACAGGCCCTGTTGGTGACGGCACGACCACGGGTGGCGGCGGCGGGAAGCGCAGCGTCGGCTGCATGTGCACATGTCCATATGATGCGCGTCCGTTGGAGCCGAGCGAGCACCTGCGATGCAGATCAGCAATGCACTGCTCGACATCGGGCTCTGACAGCGCAAGCTGCTGGTCCTCCCGGATGGTGATGAGCGTTGATCGTCGACGCGACGACCGTGACGATGATCGCGAGCGCCCTTCCATGTTGCGCACGGGACTCAGTGGCGATGTTGCAAGGCTGGAGTTGCTGCTGCTGGCGCTGCCAGAGAGGCTCCCGCCCAAGCCCTGCTTGTCCAACTTCAGTGGCGGTACGGGTCGGCGGCGCCTCTCCCTGTCTGTGCCTCGTGCCGTTGTTGCAGCAGCGGCTGTTGCGTGTGCTGTCTTCGCTGCTCTGGAGGGCTTTGGACTGACTGGCGGTGGTGGTGGGGGCGCGCGGCGGCGGCCATGATGGCGCTGGCTGCGCGAATTACCATCGCCATCTTCACCAGCACCACCTTCATCTTGCCTGCAGGCATGGCCGTGGCCTGAAATGGTCGAGTGGGCCGACGTTGCTGAGCGCGGTGGACCCGCTGCGTCACTGCCTGTGTTGCTGCCGCCGTCATTGCTGTCGCCGGCACCATCGGCATCAGATGCACTGCTCGACAGCAGCCGCAGTTTGGATGGCAGTGCCGGCAAGGGAACCTGCCGTGCGTCAAGCTGCGTCTCATGCAGGCTGTCACGGTTGCTGCCCTGTGGTGTCCGCTGCCGCCACGCCTCCGCCATGCTGCGAACGTTCGCTCCCTTGCGCTGCGACGCGTGCCGGCTGTGCTCCGTGCAGTCGCGTGAGCTGCGGTTTGAGCTTGACCCAGACACCGTAGACGCGCCAGAGTTCATATCGCCCACGCTGTGGCGCCACGACGCAGCGCTTGGCGCGGAAGTGGCAATGATGGAGTGATGCGGGTCATGCTGCTGGTGACGGTTGTGACGGCGGCGGTTGTGGTGGTTGTCGTAGTCCTGCTCGCTGTCGCCACCAATCGAGCTGCCAGCGCTCGACCGCTTGCTTGTTGTCTCCCGCGTGATGTGCAGCTTCGTTGCACTGCCGCCTGCTGCTGCGAGTATGTCTTCGCGGGAGCGATCGCGGTTGTGCGGCGGCGGTGGGGCGCGCTGTCGAACAGCGGGGCGCTGTGGTACGGGCCCTTGCATGGTCGGGTCACTGCGTTTGCGCTGCGGGCGAGGCGGGTGCTCATGTGACGCGCGAGCAGTGTGGTGCCCGTGATCGTGATCACGGGCCTCCGGCACGTTCCTCACCGTGGATTCACCAAGGACATCCTCAGACTCGCCATTCTGCAGTTGCAAGTTGTCCTGGCTGGGGCGTGTGCGTGGTCGTGGGCGCGGCTTGGGCTTCGGTGGCCGCTGGCCCGGTGCAACACCATCGCGCTGCATCATCTCTGTCAGTCTTTGGCGAACGTCCGCAATGCATGGCTCCTTGTCGTTCTCTATGCCCGCTGTTGTTGCGGTTGCGGTTGTGTGCTGCTGCCCGTTCTCATCGCCACTGCTGTGTGTGGCATCGAGATGATGTGTCTGAGCGTTGTCATCATCCTTCAGAGCAATGGTGACGTCGCTCCCCGCTGCACTGGGTGCATCGCTGGCGTTGCCTGCAGGCATCGTGCTGCGGCCGCTGTCGCGCTTGCAAATCTCGCGCTGATGCTGATGATGGTGCTGCTGCTGTGCCTCCTGCATCATCTGTGCGCCCAGGTGCTCACGGCTGCGGCGGCGGTGGTGCGAAGCGTGACTCGTCTCGTCATCGCGCTCATCGCCATCGTGATCCGTGTGCTCTTCGTACAGCGCCTCACTCAGGCCAGGCACGCGCTTGCCAGCGTTGTCACCGGCGCTGCTGGCACCCGTGCCCTCGTACACGGCCGATTTCATGTTCATCTTGACGGTCCGGCGTCCAAACTCGCCCTTCTTGCGCTTGAACCACGGCTGCTTCTCTGTGTCAAACTCATCCTCATCCTCCGTGTCTTCGTGCATGCGTGCACCATCCCCACCAACGCCTGCGTCAATATCGGCACTGCCTCTCGGCTTGCGTGATGACGACGACGATGACGCGCCGGTAGCCCCTGGCTCGTCTTCGTAGCGGCTGTTGCGCTGGCTGTTGTCACTGTCGTCGTCATCATCATCGCCAATGCCTGCCATATCCACCTTGGGCCGTGGGCGTGTGCGCTGCTGTTGTGTTCGCTCCACTGCGTCGCGGTAGTTTTCCTCCTCTCGCGCCTGCTGCTGCCGGATGCTCGCATGGACTGCACGCGCAGAAAAAAAAACAAAACAAAAAACAAAGAGCGGACGTAAGTTTGTGTGAGTGCGTGATTGGGTGTTTGGTGTTTGGGTGTGAGTAAAAATGTGTGTGTGTGTGTGTGTGTGTGTGTGTGTGTGTGTGTGTGTGTGTGTGTGTGTGAACGAGTGGCGGCTGACGGAGGGCGGGTTTGGCTTGTGAGAAACTGTTCGCGATGTGCTCGCCGTGCACTTGACAGCAGACTTTGGCGTGCATGGACGCGGCGTGTGAACCCAATGTGGTCATTCTCAACGGTGCACGACTCACTGTTAAAGGCCTGGTCATATCTGCAGATGTAGATCTCCTGCATGCTGCTGTAAAACGGGGAAGCGGTCAAACTGAGCGGATACTCATCCTCGTCCAGCACTCGCTGGTACACGCCGTTGTGTCCAACCTCCACAAGACAAAACTTGTCGGCCAGGCCTTCATCTGTTGTGAGTGAGTGAGTGAGTGAGTGAGTGAGTGAGTGAGTGAGTGAGTGAGTGAGTGAGTGAGTGAGCATGACGCGTGTGAATTGTTGATGTGGTTTCAGCGTCTTGCTCACGCACGCCCAAGCTGAATAATGGCAGGATGCCTGCTCCCGAATGAACTGAAGACATCACGCACACCAACATGCACACGTACCAATGCCAGTCTTCTTGAGGGCGGCAGAGATGAGCTTGCTTGCCTTTGTGCTGTAACTCGCCTTGAGCACGACGTGCATCTGCGCAAATGGCGGGTGTGTGTGTATGATGAGCTGACATTCCGGCGAGCATGTTTGCACTGATCAGTGTTGCTTGCGTCACTGCAGCGCGCAACCAAACCGCGAAGGTGAATGGGTGTTGTGCTTGTGCATTGGTTCTCACCTTGTCCTGGTTGATGAGCAGCGTTTTGATTCGGATCAGCCCCGGTACGCTTGCGTCAGGACCGGTGATGCAATCGTTCACAACAGGCTCCTCTGGCACTTCCGAGTGGCTTGTCTTGCGCTTGCGTGGCCAGTGGAACTTGGGTGTCTTTTTCCTGCGTACAATATGAGAGGGAGGGGGTGAGATGACAAGGTGAGTGGGGTGACAACAAGTACGTGCACGAATGTGTGGTTTGCAGAACATCGCAAAGTTGCGGCGCAAGATCACACGAAACCGACTTGATGTTGATTTCTTTGACTTCCGCCGTGTTCAGCTGCTGGTGCGCCAGCTTGATCTTCAGACTGAGTAGCTCCTGTGTGTGTATGTGTATGTGTATGTGTATGTGTATGTGTATGTGTGTGTGTATGTGTGTGTATGTGTGTGTGTATGTGTGTGTGTATGTGTGTGTGGAAGGAACAAGCGTGAAGGAAAAGGCGTGAGAATGGGCGTGTGCTTGGTTGTTGCGGTAATAAATTTCACACAGACAGACAGACAGACAGACAGAGACACAGGCAGATAGACAGACAGACAGACAGACACACACACACACACACAGACACACACACACGCACACACCTGGACGACGTCGGTGAATGCGGGGCGTTCCTCCGGATCCTGATTCCAGCATTGTTTCATCACTTGGTAGAACTCCTGTCTGCAGTTTGGCGGCTTCTCGGGGTGGTGGCCTCGCTTCACGGCCCTCTTTGCCTCCTGCACCCGTGCAATGCATGTGTGTGAGTGTGAGTGTGAGTGTGAGTGCGAGTGCGAGTGCGAGTGTGAGCGTGAGTGTGAGTGCGAATGCGAGTGCGAATGCGAGTGCGAGTGTGAGCGTGGGAGACTGTTACTGTACTTGCGGTGATCTGCAAGAACTGAGCATTCATTGCACGTGGCGAAACCCACAACACTGCACCTTGTTTGTCAGGGTGGCGAATGGGATGTCTCCTAGGGTGACCACTTCCCAGAACAGAACACCAAAAGACCTGGCAAAGAAAGCAAACACAATCTTAGGGTTAGTGTTTGCATGTTATGAACAAGCTCGTGGTGACAATCAGCTGTTGAATGCACGCAGTCACGAGTACACAAGTGCAAATCAGCGTGCTCACACGCACAACGCACCAGACGTCTGAAGCGGCGCTGAGCTGCTGATGCACAAACACTTCCGGGGCCGTCCAACGGATTGGGAATTTGGCCTGTGAACCGCGCAAAAGAGAGCGAGGAGTTTGTGAGCTGCTGCCGTGCTGCGTTGACAAAACGTGTTTTGGTTTGTGTTCCCGCCAGCGCCCTTGCTTGCAGGCAAAGACTCACAGTGCCTTGCACAGCTGCATTCATGCCATGCACGTTTGGCAGGGTTGACACAGCGTGCGCGGGCACACGAGCCCGACTCGCGCACAACCACCACGGCAATGTGTAATGAAAACGAAACTTCCCCCACTGCCCACCTTTGTGCCTTTGAGGTTACACTCTTCACTGCCAATCTTGCGGGCAAGGCCGAAATCTGAGATTTTGAGCACGCCCGAAGGAGATACGAGCACGTTTCTGCACGCAATGTCACAGTGCAGAAACCCTGGATTGCACGCGCAAGTGTGGGTGAATTGGGCGATGTTCGTGGGGGCGAATAGCCATGATGAGAGCTGACACCACATACGCAGTGGAGATGGCGGAGGTTTTGTGTGTGTGTGTGTGTGTGTGTGTGTGTGTGTGTGTGTGTGTGTGTGTGTGTGTGTGTGTGTGTGTGTGTGTGTGTGTGTGTTGGGGGTGGGGGTGGGGTAATGTGTGAGGTGACAAGTAGAGGCCCAGCGAAAGTGTGGGCGTCTCAAACAAGGCCTCACCTTTGTGGTGGACATACTCCAAGCCCGCGGCGACCTGGTGCATTGTTGAGTGGTTCGGGCACACACACACACACACACACACACACACACACACACACACACACACACACACACACACACACACACACACACACACACACACACCTACACACACACCGGCCATGTTGCAGTACTTCCTTCGCGAGTACGACGTGGTGTCCAAGTTTGCTGTGCACCCGCACACGAAGAAGCCCATCAGCCGCGAGCTGCATGCTGCCATGATTCAGGAGAGCACGCGCTTCTGGGCCATTGACGCCGAGCACACCCTCTTCCTCGCCGCGCTTGACCAGCACTATCACTCTGCAGACTTCATGGTGTGTATGTGTGTCTGCATGTGCTTGCTGCTCACACTCGCTCGCTTGTCTTTCCTGTATTCGTCCTCACGCCACCCCCGTCACCTGCGGCACCCACCCCCTTATCTTCCCCCTTCCCCTCCCCCCGCCCCCATTTGCCATATCTCCAACATGGCGTCGTACACAGGCTTCACCCGATCTACAGCGTGGACTGCAACGCATCAGCGAAGACTATCTCTCCACGCTGCCGGACAACGTGCCACGTTATCGCACGTGCGTCATCGGCCATGCCTTGCTCGCTTCCCGTGTTTGCCCTGTTCTTCCACAGCTGCACTTGTGGCACGCCCTCACACTCATCCGCCTTCCCAACAGGTTCCGGCACTTGACGTCGTACGCTTCGAGCTACTACTCATACCCATGGTGCCAGGTACCACCAATGACACACGCGCGTTGCGCTCTCGGTTGCTCGTTGCCCTTGGTCCATTTCATCCTGCTCCTCAAAATACACTCGCACACGCACACACACTCACACACACACACACTCTCTCTCACCCACCCACGCACACACACACGCACATTCTCCGCTTTGCTAGGCCATGGCTGGCTTCATCTGGTCCGAGTGCTTCCAATCTCGACCCCTCGATCGCCACACGGGCGAGCGGTACGTTGTTGTGTCACGATTCCCAACATGCCGTCGCCTCTGCCCTCCTTCGTCACACACACACACACACACACACACATGTATCCTTTCGCTTCAAACTCGCCTATCCGAGCCAACTGTCTGATGCCCCCGCTCACGTCGCATACCTCCCAACCGCCCCATCCCTTGCCGCTGTCTCCCTCCCACAGATACCGCGAGCACATCCTGGCACCGGGCAGTTCAGGGAACGAGTGGCGACGCATCGAGCACATGATTGGCTTCAAGCCAAGCGTGCAGGACCTGGCAGAGGGACTGTCGCGCCCCTGACGTGCACATGTCACATGACTTTCTGTTCTGTTACTCCTTCACACACTGCCGTCACCATCCCCGGCACTATGAACATCAAAGCTGTCAACCTTTCTGCCTCAAAGCAAAGTAAAAGGTGGCCTCTGTCAGGCGAGCGGTGGTGTTCGCGAATCATCAGTGTGTGTCCCACAACGAACGGTTTTAATTTGATGTGGGTTTGGCGAACGAACGCTACCACTCACGAACACTCCCGCTCACGAACACTCCCAACACAGGGCATGCCGCCAGCACTAATGTAACGAATGGACAAAAAAAAAAAAACATGACACACCACAATACTTGACCAACAAGACAAAACGACAACAGCACATCTCACAGCACATCTCACATCACCAGCAAAAGAGCAAACGACGCCCCCTCGCCCCCTCCCCGGATAAGTCTCTTCCCCCCCCCTTCTGCGCTTCCTCTCGCAGCGTCCCATCTTCACGTGGAGTCACGGGTTCTCCGAACGGATCTCCTCCTTGAGATCAGCGAGGAAGCTGCGCTCGATGGGGTTGACATGGCTGCGCGGGCGGTGGGGATGACGAGCGCCCACATGACCAGGGGCCGTGACTGGGGTGGGCGTTGCAAACGCTGTCACTGCGAGCGGCCGGACTGCGTGCGTTGCTGGAGCGCCACCGGCCTCAGTGGTGGCCGCCATTGTCGTCACCCTGTCCCTGAGATTGGCGCTGTTGTGTGCGAAAAACTCGTGCTGCCCTTGGTACAGCACGCGGCGCATCTTCTTGTAGTGCTCCCAGTCAAACTTCTCCAGAAAGCCAATGGCAGCGCGCACGCCAGCAGCATACAAGATGGCCTTGGAGCGGTCGTCAAGGTTGAACGACAGCCACTTGCTGTCCACAGAGCCCGGGATCCAAATCTCCGTCACAAGGCGGTTGGCCGCCTGGTTCTTGGCCAGGAACGTCGCATCGCCATGGCGCCGCATCGTGTTCAGCATGCCGCCCATCAGCTGAGACAGGTTGGGCTCGTCCGGTGACGGCTGCACGTAGTCCACGCCGAGCTTGACGCCCACACTCGGCAGCCACACGTCCTCGTGCGACATGTGGAACACGTCGAGAGGGAAGTTGCTCACCAGTCCGCCTGCATCCACGAGGCACCAATAAAACAAAGGAAGAAACACCACACACACACACACACACACACACACACACACACACACACACACACACACACACACACACACACACACACACACAAAACCATGTCAGCAAGACACGTGATATGAGTGCATGTATCAGTAAGTCGTGAGCGACACCACAGGCGACATAGATGAATGACACCGCTGTAAGTCCCGCACAAACAACCAGCACTTAGGCACTCTACACCCACCCCCACCCACCCCAACCAAAGCTCCCCTCCATCTCCTCCTCCACCACGTCCTGCACGTACCGTCCACAAACGTCGCCTGGCTGGGGATGGAACCGTCGTAGTTGAGACTCCCTGGCCATCCCGTCCACGCACGTGCAGCGAGGCTCTTCGGATGTGCAGCGAGCAGCTCCTTGGCGGACACGGGATGCCTTGGGTCGTAGTTGGGGATGTCTTTGATGGTCAGCGGCTTGAAGAAGATGGGCACAGACATGCATGCACGCACAAGGCGCGCAATCCTCACGTGGCGCATGTGCTCAAAGTATGCAGGCGCGTGGCGGGGGAAGATGACGCGCGAGCCCGTCGTGATGTCCGTTGTCACCATGGCCAGCTCAGGCTGCAGCACAAATGCCCTGATGTCGTCCGGTGGCTGCTCGCTTGGGTCGCTCTTGCGGAGGAACCGCACTTGGCTCTGGTCGAGATGCAGGTGCTTGCCATCGCCCAGGAGCGCCTCCAGTGTCGAGCAGCCGCCAATCTGCCTCAGCTTCTTGTCCAGCCAGTCCTCAAAGCCCTGCCCGTCAACCAAGCCCAGCCTTATCCACACAATCCGGAACAGCGTGTACACCGTCAGGGCGTTCTTCTTGAGGAAGGCCTTGATGCCGCCGAGCTTGTTGGAGAAGAGCTGGTCCAGGGGACCGTGGGCCAGTTTGCGGACCGCCTTGCCCGCGTCCAGCGTCCCCTCCAAACTTGTGAACCAGCTTGAGAGCCACCAGCCAAAGCTCAGAGCACCGTGCTTGAACCAGCCCAGCCCGAGCTTGCGGCTCAGGAAGCTCTTCGGGGACTCGACCTTGCCTGTCATTGTCGGAGAGTTGTCCACAAACTCCTTAGCAAAGTCGTCGTTGAGCGCTGCGTTGGCCAGGTGTGCGCGCCGATCCGACACAGCGCCGCTGGACGCAAGGAAGGCCGCGTTGATGGCGCCCGCCGAAGTCCCCGCCACAGACCGAAAGCGCACCCCAGCCTCCTCCAGTGCCCACGCAAACCCAACGAGCGCAAGCCCAAGCGTGCCGCCGCCTTCCATCACCAAGTCAACCAGCGGGTGCTGTGGCTCGCCGGCCTCGTTGCACAGGTACGTGTCTGTCATGGGCTCCTGCTTCATGCGAACCATGCCCAGCTTCGCCAGGTACTCCTTGCAGTTGTCCTCGATGGCCTTCTTGTTGTGCTTGAACGAGGCATCTGGCTCGATGAACCTGAGGCCGCCGCCTTCCACCGGTGGCCGCAGCGCCTTGCCAAGCTCCATGCGGTCGCGCAGACGACGCTGCACGTCCTTCTTCATCACGTCCTCCAGCCCGATGGTGCCGTTGTGGTTGGCCACCTCATCGAACAGCTTCCTGTCGTCTTGCTTGAACCTGACCTCGCCAAAAGATGCCAGGGCAGCCTCGAACTCGGTCCAGCTGAGGCGGCCGTTCCTGTTCGTGTCATACGCACGGAACAGCTCCTGTGCTTTGACCTGATCGTACACCGGAATCTCCTCCTCTTCTTCTTCCTCGTCCACCTCTTCAGCGGCGAACCAGCCTCTGATGGTATTCCACCACCCCATCGTGTCTCAGCTGCGTGGCTTCTTGTGCGTGGAACAAGCAAATTGGGCCTGGGGAAAGTGGCTGTTGTGGGTGGGTGGTTATGGCGGCGTCTGCTGTGTACTTCTTGTCGCTTGCTGTCTTGCTTGCTGTCTTTCTGCTGCTGTGTTTTGTCGACAACCAGCCAGCCAGCCAGCCAAGGCAGTCAGTCAACACTGATTGTGTGTGTGTGTGTTGATGCGGGCTTGTCGCGTCTTGCTTGCTTGCTTGTTGCCTGCATCTTGCTCGTCGCTTCTTCCACTTCCACTTTTTTGCGACCACTTCCACGCTTGCATCGTCGCCACCGCCACTTCCAAAAGCCAAAGGTTCTGCTTGCAGGCAGGCAGGGCAAATTGGACACACGCAGGACCTTCAAGCAAATTATCGTTGTGGATACTTTTTATGGTGTTGTAAAGCCAGCTGCTGCTGCTTGTTGTTGTTGTTGTTGTTGTTGTTGTTGTTGTTGTTGTTGTTGTTGTTGTTGTTGTTGTTGTTGTTGTTGTTGTTGTTGTTGTTGTTGTTGTTGTTGTTGTTGTTGTTGTTGTTGTTGTTGTTGTTGTGCTGTGTGCGTCTGTCAGTGTGACACCTTCATCCCTTCATCCCCTCCACCTCACACACACACACACAGCCCCCGAAATATTTAATGTTGTGCCTCAACCTCACACCATCCGTCAAGACACGGGAAACCATCATCAGTGCATGCAATGCAATACAAATGTCAAATGAATGAAATAGACAACGGGATGATGATGGTGATGATAAAAGGTGGAGAGGACACACATGTTCAAAGCAAATGCTGTCGTCCCATCACCCACTCTCTCGTGCACACACAAACACACACACACACATCACAGTGCTGCACAATTGTGCTCATACCGCAAACAACACGTCAAACGAGTTGAAAGGCATCATCGTCGTCATCACCATCAGAAGAAGAGAAACAAGGGAGAAAAACCACACACACACACACTGCTTTGCACAAAGCGCTCCATCTCCACCCACGGACACACACACACACATACACATAATCTTGTTGTGACAGCGGCTGGCTCTGCCTTGAGCACTGCCACTATGGCGTTCGCTGCGACGGTCGTGTGTCCGTTCCTGAACGAAATCCCAAAACACAAGGCCGTGCGTCGACAATGTCAGCGAAACCAAGGACCATACACCATACACCACGCTACGCCGCCGAGCACACAACACCAATCCGACCAATCAGAAAACGCGCAGCAATACAGCACTCGCACCTCTTCGGACTTCGGGAAGGCGGGGTGTCGATCGAGACACCAGAGTAGACCGGCTGTCATGGGTTCGATTCCAAGCACACAGCACAGCTCGGATGAGGACACGCCAACCACAGCATTCACACGCACACGCGTGACTGCACGATCACACACACACATACTTACAGACACAGACACAAACATACACACACAAACAGGCAACCCTCTTCCTCCTTCACTGTCACTTTCACCATACCGTTGGCTGGTCCCACCCTGATGGTGGTGCTGATGGTGATGAGCATGGTGGTGGTTGGCAAACTGGTACTCCGAGTACGGCTGCACCCGTCGCGTAGCTGCTGGTGACAGCGTGCCATGCGTTGCCCGCCGCTGCGCTCCGCTACCACCACCAGTGCCACTGTTGCCATTGCCATTCACAGCTCGCGCCACATCGCTCGATGACTTGGACCGCTGGCGAAACCCGTCCACCTCCGGCACAGACAGGCGCCCACGCGTGATCGTCGCGCCGCCACCGCCCACGCCACTCCCAGCCCCCACTGTAGCCATCGACCCTGCCGGCATTGCAGCTCCTGTTGGTGTTGCCGCCATCGTGTTGGTTATGCCACCACTGCCGCCGCCATCCCTGGCACTGCCACCGTTGCCGTTGTGCAGGCCCGCTGCGAGCGACGCCAACCTGTCCATGGTCTCTCGTCGTCTCATCTCCGTCGAGTTGCGAGGGCGAGAACTCCGCTCCCATATCCGCTTGCCAGACGACAATGACGACGCAGCGCCTGCTGTTGCCGTCGCTGTAGCTGTTGCTGTCGCAGCTGCGGTGGTCGATGCTGCTGCCGTGGATGTCGTTGCTCCGCCACTGTGTGCATATGCGCCTGTTGTCAGCCCGACAGGCGTGGGTGAAGTTGCGGTGCGGGCGCTTGCGCTCGGGGTCCCTGGCGACGGCGACAGCGGCTGCAGCCGTGCCGGTGCCTTGCGCCGAAAGCTGCCAGGGCCTCTGGACCCGCCCGCCGTGCCCGTGCGATGTGACTGGCCCTCGCCGTCATGCAGGTGGTGATGGTGGTGGTGGTGGTGATGGTGGTGGTGTGGGTGGTGGCCGTGCGTCGACGCCATGTGCCCGCCACCGGCGTAAGCCTGCCGTGCACCAGAGAGCGAAGGCGACATGGGCGAGCGGAACAGCGCTGCTGCCGCCTCGCTGATACCGGCACCAATGGCCGGGTCACTGCTTCGGCGGCGCTGTCGTGGCGCGGGGTCTGGGCTGGAGTCCAGGTCCAGGTCTGGCCGAAGCGCCGGCGAGGACACCGCGTTCGCGTCAGCGCTCTTCACGCTCTGCAGCGAGTTGCGACGCGGGCGACGCCGCCGGCTCACACCGCCGTTACCGCCACTGGTACCGTTGGTGTTGGTGGGCTCGCGTGTGTTGGCAGGGGAGTGGGCAGTGGACTTGGGGGCGTGGTGGCGACGCGAAGGGGAGGAGGATGAGCCAGCAGCAACATCAGGCTTGTTTGCGCCCGTGCTGGTCTGCCGGCGCAGCGAGGCCTGGTGATGGCGCGTGCGCAGCTGTGATGTACTGCTGTTGTTGCTGCCGCTGTTGCTGCCGCCCTTGTGACTCGTGCCAGCCGACACGCCATGCGTATCGCGCGTACCAAGGCCAAGCTGCTGGTGCTGGTGGTGCGGCTGTGTCTTCCCAGCGCCCTGCGCCGCGATGTCTGCCTCCAATAGCTCGTCCTGCTGCCGCAACAGCTGGTCCTCATGCAGCACCTGCATACTCGGCCGCCCCCGCTTCGGACGCCCGTGCGCATCTGTGCGATTGCTGCCAGCGCCGCTCCCAGCGCCACCGCTGCCACGCGTGAAGGAGCTCATTGAATCGTACCCTGTGGGCGACGTCTTGCCACGCTTCCCACCACCGCCACCGCCGCCGTTGCTGGCAGTAGTGTGGGGCGAGGATGTCGATGCCGGCGTGTGCGTGTCGCTGCGGGCTGTGGGATCGGTGCCGCTGCTGTCCTGCTCCTCGCGTGTGAATTCGCGCATCATCATCAGAATGGATTTCGTCATGTCCCCGCTCTGTTCCGACACCCACGGGTGCCTCATCACCTCCTGTACAGCGTCAAATGTGTTTGGTTAAGGGTGTGTGTGTGTGTGTGTGTGATATGCGAATTCATACGGGTGGTGAGGGAGAGAGATTGTGTGTGTGTGTGTGTGCGTGCGTGTGTGCGTGTGTGCGTGGGCGAGTGCGACAGAGAGACAGCTGACAACCAAACGTGAACGGTGAGGTGCAAGTAACAAAAGCTGCGCGCACCACGCACACATGTCAACCGGTACCTTTGCAGTCATGCGCCAGGCAGGGTCTATCTTCATCATGTAGCTCAGTAAATCCTGAACGCAAGCAGCGACAATGATGCAAGGACCACGGTGAGCAAACGGGAAGGGGGGTTGTAAGGTGAAATGAGGTGTTGCCTTCACATGTATCGAAATATGGAATGAAATCGTCCACAAACACACAGAGACAGACAAAGAGACAAAGAGGCACACCAACACACAGACAGAGACAGAGACACAAACAGACAGACACACAGACATACAGACACACACCACAATTCACCACAAACCACAACACAACAACAACCACCACATTCACAAGCCCCGAAGCATCTCACCTTTGCGCGGGGGTCGATGTCGACGCCGTCGAGGTTGAGGGGATGGGATTTGATCTCCTGCAGCATCTCGTCCGGGTTTCGCGACGGCGTGTACGGGTGCCGGCCCGTCAGCCTGGTGAGCAAACGATGGCAAGGTACGCGGAGAGGGGGGTGGGGATGGGTCATGTGAGCGGTGTGGTGGAGTAGGGAGGGGGTATTGTTTAGTGGTGAGACTGACGTGTCGTGTGAAGGGAATGGACCAACGGCAGATGGCACACAGGCACACCGACACACAGGCACACCGACACACCGACAGGGAGACACACACGCGAGCGCGCACACACACACACACCGACACACCGACACACCGACACACCAACACAGGCACACAGACGCACAAACGCACACAGACACAGACATGCACACAGACACACGCACACGCATACGAGTATACGTACAGCCTGAACATGACGACGCCGAGGGACCAGATGTCGCAGAGTGGCGAATACAGCCCGACATCAGCCAGCACCTCTGCAGGGGCCGTGCACGCCTGTTGCGAGGTTCAATCAACACCCAATCCAGTCAAGTCATCCAACGAATACCCTACCGTCACCATACACTATTTCCACACACACACACACACACACACACACACACACACACACACACACACACACACACACACACACACACACACACACACACACACACACACACACACACACACACACACACACGCTCTCTCTCCCCCCTTCCCCCCCCCACCACAACATCGACGACAAGCAGGTTACGCCGCAAGGCGGAGGAAGAGAAAGGGGCAGCGAAGCAGCGCTGGCGCATTGGACTCTCTGTTGCCGCAGCAGCAGCCGTGATGGTGTCATACAGTGTGATCATGGCAAAGGTGCCCCAGAATATCGTGTTCCTTCTGTCATAGTAAAACACGCGGTTCCATTCACTGCAGCTCGCATACAGCTGGCGTTGCAATCACCACTCACGCATGCGGTGTAAAGGCACAGGGCGGGTTGCAGGGAGCGGGGGAGGGGGAGCAACATGCATGTGGAGGAAGACAAGCGCATCCTTAACGAGACGCACGCACGGACAGAGAAAACACCCCGTTTCCGCACACAGACAGGCAGACAGACAACCACACACACAGACACACACACAAACGAACAGGAACACCCCCCACCACACAGACAGGCAGACAGACAAACAGACAGGCAGACAGACACACAAACGAACAGGAACACCCCCCACCACACACAGACACAGACACACACACACACACACAGACACACACACAGACGTCACTTGTTGTCGTCGCCAGCATCGATGAGGCTGAGGAACTGCCTGACCTGCGCCTGCACCGCTGGTTCCGGCACGAGACGAAGCCGCTCCCGTGCAAAGGTGGCGGCGCGCTGGGTGACGGGGAGGGCGGTAACAGCCGCGCCCCTGTTCTGGATGAGCTGTGTCAGCGCGGCGAGGAAGTTGAGGCCAAGCTCCACCATCTCCGTCTGCTGGACCTGGTCCATTGCTGCCGTGAGCGGGGCGCCGTCGTTCGCCAGCAGCAGCTGTTCGCACTCGTCTCCCGCAGCGGACGCAACGGCCAGCCCGATCATGCCCTCGCACTTGAAGAGCGGGTGCTCCTCCTGCAGCATGCGCACAAACACATCCACGGCGCCGCCAGTGACAATGGGCGCGATAATCTCAGCAGCCCGCCCTGTCTTGACCACCGTCACCAGCAGTCGCATGGCCTCCCCACGCGCCGCCATCACCTCGCTGCCCGTGAGGTGGATGATGCGGTGCAGCACGTCTGTGTCCGTCGCCACGCGCGTGTGCAGGTCGCGGCTGTCTGCGCTGCTCAGGATGCGAAGCGAGGAGCACGCCAGGTATTGCAGAGGCGCCTGCGGATCGTTCATCACGCGCAGGAGGGCGTCCACAGCGCCAGCATCCACCGCCTTGTTGCGGTTGTCTTTGAGCTTGACCACGTTGTTCAGCGCCCCGAGCGCCGCGTGCTGCACGAAGCCCAGGTTGTGGGTGGACAGGGCAACCAGTGCCGGCAGCAGGCCTGGCGTCTCCCCGAGCACGCGCGCGTTGTCGTCGGAGCGGCAGATGTTGCCGATGCCAATGAGGCCTGCCACGGCCTTGTCCACCACCTGGCGCATGGCCGGGTCAGACAGTGCCGCGAGAGGCGACACCTCCTCACCTTCGCCCGCGTGCGGCCGCGGCTGGAGTGCCTGGCTGCCCTGGTTCTCGCTCTGCGCTGCTTCTCCTGCGACAGCCTCGCCCGCGTGCTCTGCTCGCTGTTTCGCCGCCGACGTTGCGAGGGCGGGCTCCATCCACGAGCGCAGCGCCGTGAGAAGCTCGTCGCGGTGCTTGTCGTTGCCCCACAGCACAGCCAGGCACGCGTCGTCGCTGAGCAGCACCGCAACGACGCCCGCCGCGACCACGCGCGCACGCGTGATTGGCACTTCATCTGCAGCGCCAGCGCCGACCTGCGCCAGCGCCATGAGCCTATGGATCAAGGCGGGGTCCTCTGCAAACGCAGGCAGGTTCTTGTCGTTGTTGGTGATCTGCTTGAGCAGCTCACCGAGGGAGTCTGCGTCCTCCACGTCGCTGCACGCCTCCAGACGCGAGATGAGCGTTGAGAGGTGCGTTGTCGTGGCCAGCTGCTGCATGGCCTTCTCAACAGGCGTGAACCGCATGAGCGCGTTCAGCGCCATGTCCTTCTCCTGCTCTGTCGGCGCGTTGGACAGCAGCCACATGAGGTTGTCCACGACGCCGGCCTCCACCAGCTCCTTCTGCAGCTCCTCGCTCTCGCCCGCGGCGTTCAGGATGGAGCCTGGCCCCGCCATGAGCTGCACCTGTGGCTGTGGCTGCTGCTGGTCCTGCTGGTTCTCGCTTGCGCGTGCAGCGTGGCGTACGATGACCTGCAAGGCAGTGCCGAGGGCGGCGACACCGTTGGTGCTGCGCAGCGCCTGCCGCGCGGCGTCGTTGTCGAAGCACATGTTGCCGATGGCGCGGAGGCACTGCACAACCACGGGCAGGGCTTCCTGAGCGCACGCGGCGCTCAGCGTCTCGTGCACGCTTTGCATGAGCGCCGGGGAAGCCGTGAGCTTGGCGCGGGCTTCCTCATCCTTGCACACCTCTGCAATGGCAGCACACAGGCGCTGCTGTTGTCCACGTGTCTCTTCGCTCGCATCTTCCTTCGATAGCAGGGGTTCAGCCTCCTCGGTCAGTTCCAGGATGGCTGCAGCCGTCGCCTCGCGATCGCTGGTCAGCGTCTCCGGCACATCCGTGCCCTCTTCTCCCGAGCGCACAAACGCCGTCAACGCATCAAGCACAGTCATGGCGAGTGGTGGTGGTGGTGTGTGTGTGTGGGGGGGGGGGGCGATGTGGAGGTGGTTGTTGAATGTGGATGTTGGTATATTCTTTTGCTTATTTCTTGGACACCATATGTCTGTATGTCGCGTGTCGTGGCTGTCTGTGGCCGTTTTTGGAACCTTCCACTGCAACAAATTTTTTTATTTTTGATTGCCAGAGGTGAGATGATGATGATGACGTGTTGGGTGTTGGGGCTGGGGATGCGAGGGTGGTGATGCAGGATGACGCTCAGTGCTGGGCGCGGGTGGGCTGTGTGGTGTGTGGTGTCATGTTTGTGACAGTGATGTTGTGTGACAACGCCGTGCCACGTACACGACAACAACCTCGTGTCATCACACATCACAAGACCAAACACAACAGTGACTGGTCGCTCACAGTTTGCTCGTCATATGCATTCATTTTCTTTGTTCACTCTCACATCACATTTCACATCACCTGGACAGTGAACACTTGAACAGGCCATCCAACAACAACGACAACACTCACCAGGACCACCACCACCACCACCACCAACAACAACAACAGCCCGACACTTTGCACACACAAACGTTCCAACAACACAATGGAGCTTTCCAAGGAGTATGCATTCGTTGGTCTGGTGACCATCGAGTACGCGCTGGTCATTGCGTGGATGGCCCACCGCGTGGGCAAGGCGCGCCGCAAGTTCCAGGTTGCATATCCGACCATGTACGCGCGCATCGGCGACGGCAACATCAAGGATGAGAAGGCCCTCCTCGAGTACAACTGCACCCAGCGCGCGCACCAGAACTCCGTCGAGAACTCGCCCACCTTCCTCTCCCTCCTTGCCCTTGCCAGCGTCAGCTTCCCGACTTATGCCGCCATTGCCGGCCAGATTTGGATTGTCGCGCGCATTGCATACTTTGGCGGCTACTGCACCGGCGACCCGAAGAAGCGCCTTCGCGGCACCTTTGGCTACATTGGCCTGATCGGCCTCCTTGGCATGGCCCTGGCCACATGCATCAAGCCTTTCCTCTAAACCGGCACACGTCCTCTGTGCGTTTGTGTCGTGTGTGCGTGCGTGCGTTTGTGCGTTTGTGTGCGTGTGTGTCGTGTGTGTCGTGTGTGTGCGTGTGTGTGTGTGTGTCGTGTGTGTGTGTGTGTGTGTCGTGTGTGTGTGTGTGTGTGTGTGTGTGTGTGTGTGTGTGTGTGTGTGCGTGCGCTTGCTCTTGGCACTCTCATGATGCCTGTTTCTCCAAGCTCCAGCCAGTTTGTTCTTGACAGTCACACCACTGCTTGTTTCTTGGCATGCAGTGCAATGATTCATCTCCATCTCTCCATCACCGTCCCTCAGCATCTTCCAGTTCATCCGTCCGACAATACAACAGCACGTTAAACGCGTCAGCCATGTGGTTGTTTAAGTCAAGCGAAAGGGCGGGACATGAGGTGAACGCAATCACACTGCAGGAGCACACACGGGAAATGACATGAATGGAACAAAGCATGCAGTTACGAAAGAAGAAAAGCCGGGAGGGGTGTTGTTAAGCTTGGAGGGACACCAGGGGGGGGGAGTGCGATAACATGTTGGTGCACATGCAGGGGTCATGTGCAGTCCATTGCACTGTCGTCAAGCGCCGCCATCAGCGCTTCGTCCGACAGCTGCAGTTGTGTTACGTCCGCGAGTGAGTGAGTGGGTGAGTGAGTGAGTGAGTGAGTGAGTGGGTGAGTGTGTGTGTGTGTGTGTGTGTGTGTGTGTGTGTGTGTGTGTGTTACGTCCGCGAGTGAGTGAGTGAGTGAGTGAGTGCGTCATTCAAGTCTACAAAACACAAGCGATTCACCACCACTGCAACCACCACCACCGCCACTTTTCCTCACCTCTGCAGGCACTTCCTGCTTCGTCGTTGCCGTCGTTGTCGTCGTGGTGGTGGTGGCACCATCAGCACCCCCTCGGTGTTGCTGCTGCTGCTGTCCGCCAGTGCGGATCTTGCGGCTCTCCTCAAAGTACTGGTTCGGGTGCGTCACAGTTGCAGTGCCGCTCGGTTGCTGCACACGCACACGCGAAGCCGACACGTGAGCAGTTGGGGGGGGGGGGATAGCGGATGTGTGGCATACACACACACACACACACACACACACACACAGACAGACAGACAGACAGACACAGACACAGACACACACACACACACACACACACACACAGACAAGTTCAAGTGGTTGCGTGTGCCTCACCTCGTGCGTAACTTCAAAGTAGCGCGCACAGGCCAGCTGGAAATGCGACCCGCGGACAAGTTGTACAATCTATCGAAAGGAGAGCAACACGTGGTATGATGTTGTGAGTAAAACAAACGCGACAGAGAACAAAGCAGACTTGTATGTACACGCACACACAAAACGTTCACAGATATGCACACACAGACATGCGCAAGCAAACGTTCACGACCATTCAAACCTGCACTCCCTCCGTCACACCCCTCCCACAGCACCTCGTGGATGGTTGCTGTTGGGACTTTGTATGCCATGAGCTTGGTCTTCAGGTTCTGTTCGTTGTAGTGCTTGAAGGGGCAGCCTGACATGCCGGGAAGTGGGGGGGGGGGAACACGCGGATCAGCCGATGAGAAAAGCGCCAGGGGTGAGAACGAGATGAGCAAGTAAGAGTTGGTGGTGGTGACGATGGGAGGGTGAGGAGGAGAATGAGAGTGCAGGCGACACATTGAACGAACACAGACACACACAGACACACACAGACACACACACACACACAACTCAAATGCGTACCGTGTGCGTCCCCGGTTGACGGTGCACTTCCCATGATGATCTTCATGCACGAGTACGGGGTGTAGTTTTGGCGCTTGCCTTCCTTGCCGTAGTTGTGCCGAATGTTGTACGCATACGACTTTTCAAACTGCGCC